TTATAATAGAAGAGCAAAACAATTAGCAGTAGGGCTAGATGACAACTCAGATAAAGAGAAGTATATTTTGTGTTACTCTTACACTTATATTGGAGGTTACTTGGCTTGGAAACAATTATTAAGCTAATAAAGTTTGTATAAGTTTGAGGCACATTACTCAAAAGCTATCCACAGTTTCAGAAAACCAGCAAGTACATACTCAGATCAGATACTAAGCCTTAGATTCCATGAAATGTTATTGGAAAATCTTTCCTGGCATGTGACTGTCACTGACTGTGTAACAATGGCCATATCACTACCCTCTTGTATCTTAAGATGATAAGAGGTAAAAACAAGATATGAAGATTCTTTTCTGTCACAGAAGATGGCTAGGAAGCTCACAGATGATACTTTATGTAAAAATATCATGCAGATTCAATTTACTATCATTTGTTTATTCACTTAACAAATATCTGTACCTATGCCTAAATCTTGTGACTGTGTAAAATGCTCTATCTGCCCTTAGGAGCCTGCAGCTCAGAATGGGGGAGTAGACGTGGGAACAAAGCAGTATGACAGGTACTGAACGGTAGAAATATGGACCACATCCAGTGGAGAGAGGAGGGAGAACTCTGTTCTGAGGGAAGAAGGAGGTGGCTGGCCTGGTTCGGTGCACAGAGGTTGCTCTCAGGCTCTCTGCTCATTCTCTCTGTGGGCTCACAACTCATTACCAATCCCTCACTCTCTCCCTCACCCTCTAATCAAGCTGAGTCTGTTTCTTTAACAACTCCAGTTTCATGTCTATTATTCCAAGATCTGAAAAGTTCTCAAAACCTGCACTTTTTTTTTTTTCTTAGCTGGTAGCAAAACCTGAACTGCACTGATGTCAGACTCCTGATTATCAATATTTTTCTGTCTTGTTAGGACACTTGGGTCAACAATTTCATCATCCACCCACCACCAAAGCCAAGAATGAGTCATTCTCAGCTCCTTTTTTCACCCTCTAAACCCAACTGGTCATCGAGCCCTGTTGATTCTAGCCCTCAGATGTTGTATCCTATTTATCCCCTCCTCTCCATTCTTCCCACTCCTGCTGAGCTAAGGTCTCCAGCACATGTGTGGCACTGCTGAGGGCCATTACCAAGTAGGAATGACGCATCGAAATTTCCTTGCCAAGCGTACCCCATGCTGCTTAGCGGACATTCGATGGGACATTGCATGCATGTTTTAATAAGGTGACCTTGCTCAAGGACCAAGGC